TTGATGGTTAAATGTTGTCCACATTGCAACTTTGGGCCGCTTAAATATCCTAGGTGGAAGGGGTTGCTAAGCCCACGGGATGGATCTGCCATCAGCAGGGTTGCCAGCTGTCGGTAAATTTACGGACAGTCCGTTAAAAAAAAAAAGTGACCTAAAACGACTTGTCCGTAAAAGTCGGTAAAAGTCCGTAAAAACTTCACGATCTCCGTAAACAACATATTTGGACCGTATCAGGAAATTTGATCGAAAGAAATTTCGTCGACGATAAATTGGTCGACAGTAATATGATCGAACGGAAATGTGGTCGAATCTTCTTTTCAATTTTTACGTTACAATTTTGCATCAAATTTCTTTTTGAACGAATTATTCTGTTTGACTAAATAGTCTAAGAGAGTTCAAAAAGAAATTTGACGAAAATTTTAACGCGCGAACGGAGGAAAAAGATTCGACCAAATTTCCGTTCGATCAAATTACCGTCAATCAATTTACTGTCGACGAAATTTCTTTCGATCAAATTTTCGGTAACCCATTTGGACGGTGTACACAAATAGTTTGAAACGAAACAAAACGTCATACATCAACTTGAGTGATTCCCACCAGGCTTTAAACGAGTTAGATCATAATCATGAGAATTTAATAATTTATGAGAATTTTGTTAATTTATTTAGATTATTATTTTAAAAATTGTGTCGGTAAGAATTGTCTGTAAATTATTATATTTTTTTTTTGTGGCGTTTGCAACGCAACCCTGACCGGTAGCAAACATAATGTAATGAAAAACAGTAACACTAATTTCATGACGGTGATTATGGAAATATCGACGTGTTTGTTGTATGACCACAGTGGTTGTGGGATGATTGCAGTAACTGTGAGATGACGGTAGTGGTTGTGGGATGATTGCAGTAACTGTGAAATGATGGTAGTGTGATGATTGCAGTAACTGTGAGATGATGGTAGTGGTTGTGGGATGATTGCAGTAACTGTGAGATGATGGTACACTAAGCGTTATAACATTAGTCGTTGTGAAGTGATGTCGAAAATGGCGTGATGATTTTAATTAGTGGCAATAAATAAGATTTGATTTGTCTGACATTAATTTAATAAAAATATAATTCATTGTAATCATGCGCTTTGGTTTTAAGATGATATTTTGTGACATTATTGGCAAGATTATATTCTATTGTTGCCCATGAAGTGTTCCTTTCAGACACTTTCCTCCAGGGGGACATCTCAGCATAAAGCTCCCATAATTCAGTTGATTGTAATGATTATTTGGAATTTCAAACTATTATAACTTTCTACAGATAAATTAAAATTTGCCTCTTCGATATACGTTTACACATTAAACAAAATATTCTGATATTAAATGGAGAAAATGATTTGGAAATTAAATAAATATAGGCTGAAATATAGCATTAAAAATAACCCCTGTTATTAAAAAAAAATTGTTAAAAAAGTAGCACATTTAAAGAGAACACAAACGCTTTCGACATAATAATTGATGAAACGTGCACTATTTGTATGTGCCCTTTACATTCTAAGTTTTTGTTTAAAAAGAATAAATCATTTTTTAAAAAAAGGTTTTCATTTTAATCAGCTCAACATACATGGAGTCGTGTACATTTAAAAGTATGCTAATAAAAACTATATTTTTAAAAGCATGACGCCATCATATAATTTTTGATTAACACCTGTAAGTCGTGCTTTTATGAAGATATTATTTGAAAACAGATTGCACATGTTTGGTACTTAGCTTGAACTGTATTAAAATTAAAGGACTTGATATTGATGTGAGCATAGCTTAATACCGTGTTATTAAAAGTCTTTAAACTTTTGAAGTTGCAAAAAATAATTAAATAAAAATACCGATGTATAATATGCAAACAACAGGAAGTCACACATTCACTCATATTCGGTAGCGGCCTATTTTCAAAGCAGAACATTATTTAAAAATGGAATAGTGTAATAAAGCCTCTAGCCTCTAACAAGATGAGCCATAAATATACGGTTCATGAAATATATCGAGCGTAGCGATGAGGCATAGACTCCACTAAGTTTAATCTGTTGATGGCACCAGTTATTATTCCGTTAAAATTGTTAAAAACATGATAACTTGGTCGTCCCACCCCCCGCCCCCATTGACGCCCGAACGAAAGAATCCGTGCAAATGTTGGTAATATAATAGGAGACTATTCAGTTCGATGTTTAGCGTTTACATTTCAAAGGCAGCATTACAAAAAAATAATTATTTTTCAGGTGATCGATCCATCAATTCGACCACTGTTAAATGTCAGTCGAAAAGTAATGGTCATCGTATTTCTCCTATTGTTTGACCAGCGTAAGACCTCCGCCACAGAGCTGGCTGGCCTGTTCCTCATCACCTTTGGTATCACCACCAACGCCATAGACGTGATAAGCCATCCATCTACACCCTTGGCCAACTCTGGGAAAATCAGTTGAGTCATAATAATATTGGATTTGACTTTTACCTGTAATTTAGTCTCTTTGATGTATTACATGACTAGAATGGTCAGGGGTTGAGTGATGCACAAATGTGTTTTATTTAAAATTGCTTTATACAAAATGTCGGTACTTTATTCATGTTATCTTATTTAAATCGAGTCAGTTATCAGCCGATAATGAATATGATGTCTGCATGGCGGCCTAAACCCTCGCTGATGATTTAAATTACGCCACCCTGAGAAAGCCGCTCCTAGACGACCGTTTCGTCCCCGCTTACGTCCCGACCGAACAACTCCCTGGGCGTTGGGGGGAGATAACGAAACGCCTTCCCCTGGAGAGGAAGCAAAGCCGTTTTGATCCAGTGGAGAGTGGACCCGCGAACGCTTTAAACGCAGCGTTTTCAGTCGACCCGACGTTCCCCAGGCCAGGGGGGGGGAGGTTCCCGGCATGCTCCCGCACGGTCTGGTGGCGGGAGAGCTGGCGCTGGCCCGTGTGGGGGTGTGCCTGGGGGGGGGGGTTAAGAGCTCACGCTCAACGACCCACCGACGCCATCTCCAATGAGACGTTATCAGCCATAAAAATAAAGTACAAGGAAATAAAGAGCAATGTGAACAAAATAAAACTTGAATAAAGCACTTTGTAAAAGATGTTTACTGATTTCTGTTGGACGTAACCAGTAGAAGGTCATGTAAGCAGATGTAGGTTATGTAAGCAGATGTAGGTTAGGTAAGCAGAAGTAAGTTATGTAAGCAAATGTATATATGTAAGCAGTGGTAGGTTATGTAAGCAGATGTAGGTCATATTCGCATATGTAGGTCATGTAAGCAGAAGTAAGTTATGTAAGCAGATGAAGTTATGTAAGCAGATGTAGGTCATGTAAGCAGATGTAGGTCATGTAAGCAGAGATAGGTTATGTAAGCAGAGATAGGTTATGTAAGCAGATATAGGCCATGTAAGAAGTGGTAAGTCATGTAAGCAAATGTATATATGTAAGCAGTGGTAGGTTATGTAAGCAGATGTAGGTCATATTCGCATATGTAGGTCATGTAAGCAGAGGTAGGTCATGTAAGTAGATGTAATCAGATGTAGAAAATGTAAGCATATGTAAGAAGATATAGATTATATAAGCATATGTTATGAGATGTTATTAGATGTAGATAATGTTATCAGATGTAGTTCATGTAATCAGATGTAGATCGTCTAATAAGATGTAGATAATGTAAGCAGATGTAGATCATGGGAAGAACTAACACGTATGCATCTACCATTAAACTGACCATGGTAAAAAAAAGTGCAATATCTAAATCGGTAGATGAGATTTGAAGATCATCCTACCAAAGCAAAGTTTAACTGGTAATTGTTCTTTTAAAATGAATTGTTTAGTCGGAGGCCCTGTCAATCACCCTGGCCATTAGGCTATTGACTTGCCAAACAATTCACCCAGCACCCGGTACTCGTCAAGGTGACCACTGCATACAAAGAACATTGCCGGCCCTCTTTGTGACATACCCTACAAAGAACATTACTCTCTTTGTGACATACCCTACAAATAACATTACTCTCTTTGTTACAGACCCTACAAAGAACATTGCGGCCCTCTTTGTGACAGACCCTACAAAGAACTTTGACCTCTTTGTAACTGACCCTTCTGTGGCTATCTTTGAGACATACCCTACAAAGAACATTGCACTCTTTGTGCCAGAACCTACAAAGAACATTACCCTTATTGTGACAAACCATACGAAGAACATTACCCTCCTTGTAACAGACCCTACAAAGAACATTGCCCTCGTTGTGACAGACCCTACAAAGCACATTGTCCTCTTTGTGGCAGACACTTCTGTGGCCTATTTGTGACAAACCCTTCTGTGGCCCTCTTTGTGACGGATCCTTCCATGAAAAGCACGATAAATGCACTTTCAGAGTAAATTTTAAACTTCTATTTAAACAAAAAATGTCATTGCACCCCTAGAGTGTAAGAGGACTCTCCATGGAAAATTTCAACTTCATAGGTCTCTTTGGTTTTGAGATCTTGTAATCAGTCAACCAGTGGGTTGTATTTGGCTTATACATATATACTATTTAAATTCTATTTAAAATGAATTTCAATACAATTTAGTTATTTCTTCGATTAAAAATAAACTATAATTGATATCTTTGCTTCTTCCATCTATATGGTGCGATCGAAACTTGGTACGATACCCTGGGAGTCCTGTGGTACATTGAATTCTACTAGTCGGATTTACAATTTACATAATTATTAAAAAGTTTTTAAAGTATTTTAAGTTATTATTAACCTAACAAGATTTAAAACCTTATTTTTTCCATCTCCAGGAACTCAAAGCGCTCGAATTACGAAGACAAGCCAACTGGTCATCTTTGCGCTGTTTACCACCGCTGCCCTGAGTATAGTGTTGAAGCAGAGAACCCTTTTAAGGACATCCTCTTCAGACAGACTGTCATCACTTCCAGAGCACGAGCTGTCAGTGGCACCAGAGCTCAAACAAAGCATAAAAGAGGAGGCTCACGACTTTGAACCTAGCATAGTCACTTTTCTCTCATGGCGCCTAATCCATCATCCAGACAGGACAAACATGAGGTCGAGGCGCCTCACGACACATTCAGCTATGATTGCCGAGGCTCAGAGAGTTCTCCTGAACCTCCTGACTGACGTCATCGGCTCGGTCAATCACGTGATACTCTTGTGCCGCTCATCCTTCGACGACAAGGCGGACGGTGCGAGCACCCTGGGGACATTTCGCCTGCTTAAGAAAATGATCAAGACGGTGGCGTTTTTTTGTCATTCTTCTCACGACTGCTCGAGTGATAAAAATCTGGACAAAGCGTGGGACGCAAGCCAGGTTGTCCACAATGACGTAGCGATTCTTGTTTTAGTTGGGGACTATCAAAACGTGTCGTCACAGACTTACACTTTTCAAGGGAAGATCATGAAAACCTTTCCCTCTCACACAATCGTTTTTCTCTCCCATAGTATCCTACAGGAATGCAACGCAGACGAATGTCTGCAGGGCCTCCAGGCCTATTCTAACCACTCTAACGTCTTCCTGTTTCTACGAGATCTTCAGTCTTACCGCCTAGTCGAGAAAAACTGCGAAGGGGTTAAATTTGTGCTCGCACCGGACATGGCGTTTGGAATAGGAACCGTACAGCGGCATATCACGGCCACCTACGATGTCATCTGGCTGCGGAGCTCTGAGGACGTCACACAAAGATACACGATGCCATCTTCGCCATCGGATCTTTCCGTCTTCGTGTCCGATTGGACGTCCGGTTACTGGGTCACCAATACTGGCGGATCGGACGAGGAAACGGAATTCATCGTCACGCAGGCCGGGCTTGATTTCCTCCAGAGGGGCCGTGTTGTTGTGACGGACCGTCTCCATGGACACATTCTGTCGGTGCTGATGAACCTACCGCATGTGTTTATCGAGGACACGGCCTTGGACTCTTCCCTGTCTACCTTCAGCACGTGGACGCAGCTCCTGAGGAACGTTTTCTTAGCGAATAACAGAAATGTGGCTCTAAAGAAAGCCGCGCTGTTGTTGAGTCGATTCGATGATTATAAGGAGACCAATTGACCTCAGCATAGTGAAGTGGACATCCACTCCTCGCCATAAAACATTACAGTGCATTCTTATCAAGTTTTTTTTTCATATCCCAAAGGGATAATTTTTTGATGTCTTTATTATTCAAGCAATAAAAATGACAATACTTTAGTCTCCTTTTGTTTTATTCCTACTGTAAAAGAAATCAAATAATTACTTTTCATTTATACAATTCAAAATCAAGCTATAATCTTTGTTACTTTTATTAATACAATAAAGCAATTGTGCTATAATGATCCATCCCTGTGGTGCCACAGCCCATTCCTTCCACTTAGCCATAACTAATGCTTTCTTTTCGTGCATGGATTGCCAGCTGCTTTAGATCTTTTCTCACATCATCCCACAGCAAAAAAGAGGAATAATTCCAGGCCTTGTAGATTTCGTCTTGTGAAGTCTTCACTATCGTCACATTGTGACAGACGGATGCCATCTAGGTCTGTCATTGAGCCGTTTTCCTCCGGGGTTCTGGTGATGCACCCTTTTCAGTCCTCTGTCTTTTGGCATTTTTCTAAGTGTCATGCCTAGCGTAGCCTACCCTTTAAAAAATATATTTCTGCTTCCAATGTGGGATTTCTAATTTAAACGTTAAAATTTTTGGTTGATTCGTACTCTCCATCCATATTCATTCCTTTTTGGTCCATGCATTTTCCGGAGCATTTTTCTCTCCCATGTGCTGAATAGGTTTTCTGCCGTTTTCGTTAGTGTCCAAGTTTCCCTTGCGTATGTTACAAATGCTATAATCTTAGTTAGTTTTATTCATACAATAAAGTTATGTTACTGTGATGTGAAAGTAGCAGCTCTGAACTCCAAATCAGGAGCTAAAGTGATCAATAAATTGATCGTGAGCTCTAAAAAATAATTTAAAAAATGCTCAAATGTGTGATTCATCAATTTATCAACACCTGCAGAGTGTTTACAATGTTTATTAAGTCAAAGAAGTAAATGACAACAGTTTCATTGACCACTTCAAGAACTGACTATGTACCAGGGCAAACGAGTCGGGACCTCAGCTCCCGAGATTCGCATGTGTTTCTATGGGGATTTAAAAGTTCCTTTTCATAAGTTAGCAGTCATTAGTCCAGCTGGTAAAATCAAAAGGTCATTCAACCAGCTGGTAAAGTAAGAAGGTCATTCAACCAGCTGGTAAAAACCAAGGGACCTTCACCTAGCTGGTAAAATCACAAAGTCCTTCGTCAAGAAGACCTTTCGACCAGCCGTGATGTCATTAAATCAGTTGTAAAAATCACAAGGTCCTCATACCAGCTAGTAATATCTGGAGGTAAAGGGGACTAATTAACCTTGGGTGGCAACTTATCTAAGAGAAGGAAACTCTGAATTCAAACCCGGAGATGGAGTCCCAATGAAACATTCCGACAACTCGTGGGACGACACTGTTGCCAAGCTGTATTATCCATATGATGTTCCCTTGGCCTATCCAGTGGCGTGGAGAGAGGCGATTTGCTGTTGGGAACAAGCTTATGATCCTAGAAGAATAATTCCAGGCCTTGTAGATTTTGTCTTGTGAAGTCTTCACAATCGTCACATTGTGACAGACGGATGCCAGCAAAATTATCTGGAGATCCTTCAAACAGCTGCTAAAATAAAGAGGTCCTTCAAACGGCTAGTAAAATCAAGATGTCCTTCACTTAGCTTGTAAAATAAAGAGGTCCTACACAGGTGGAAAATGAGAAGCTAATTGTCCTATTGGTAAAATCAAAAAGTCATTCACACAGCCGGTAAAATTAAGATGTCCTTTACAGAGCTGTTAGAATTTGTAGGGGCTTCCCTTAGCTGATAAAATCAAAAAGTCTTTCGACCAACTGGCAAAATAAGAAAGTGCTTTGACCAGCTCGTAAAATCACTAGGCTCCTCGACCAACTTGTAATTGAGAAGGTCCTTGAACCAGCTGTTGAATCAGGAGAACCTTCAGACAGCTGGTAAAATCACGAGGTATTTGACAAAGTGGTAAAATCATAAGGTCCATTACACAGCTGAGAAAATCTGGAGGTCCTTCGACCAGCGGCAAATATCGTCAGATCCTACAATCCGCGAATGAATATTTCGTCAATTCGGCGTCTTCTCTTCGAATCCATTTGATATCGTGTTACACTCTGCTGTCTATAGGAAGAAATTAATCTCTTATTTTAAATTTATGGCTCGTTCTAACAAAGCATCACAAAAGACGATGCCATATGGGAAATACCGTAGCAAAAGTAATACGACCCTCAAAACAGCGATAACAACAATTAATAAGATTTATTAAGTTTCCAATAAATTACTAAATAAAAGAAATATAATTAAAACCATTAACTTACCGTATGTTGTTTTGCTTGTACCGGTACACAGTTGATGATAATACAATGTGCCAAAAAAAAGGTACAACGATGAAAAGTAATTCAAACAGCTGGTAACCAGGGTTTCTTTCAGGCATCTCTCCAGGGTCACCCCCCCCCGGGCAAGTCAAGAGGCCACCCCCCAGGAAAAATGAGTGCAATAAACGAAAATATATTTTATAAATAAAAGCGACGAAATAGTCATTTACAAATCAAAAAGCAACTGTTGCCTTGAAAATATTACAGTTAGTCGAACCAATTAAATATCGATACGTTAAATATATTAGATTATCCCTATATTTAATGCTAATCTTGATTGAGGCTTATACTTTCGATTATAAATATCGTACTGTGCAAACAAACAGCCACTTCTTATAAATAGAATCGTACTTTTTGTTATTTGCCTGTTTCGTTATTTTGATTTATTAATGTTAGCAACTTCACAAGTTTAAAAACTTTAATAACACGGTATGAAACTATTTTTACATTACTAACTAACACACATATTCTGGTGAGGGTCTGAGATTACTCTCTTATGACCCCGGCAAGTAAATTGGCTATCAACTCCATCTGTTGAGCTGAGCCATACAATATTTCCCCCACAAAGGATCCTCCAACCGCCCTGGCTTCCCCCGGGAGATCTAGTGAGGGACATTCAGTCAACATGTGCTCTAGGGTCTCCGGGGCCAGGCTGCAATGCCGGCAGGTAGGATCTCTGTTGTTATCCAGCCGTCAGAAATATGTGCGTAAGGGGCAGTGCTCGGTGCGCATCTGCGTCACTAAACTCTGCGATCTGCGTCCTAACCCCCACCATGAGTCTTGTTTGCTAGGAGTGGGCAAGTTTGAATAGACGCCTCTGGCGGTCGTGTTGTCAGCCCATTGTCTGTACCACTTCTGCATGAAGTGGTCCGCCAGCCAGTTTTTAATTCCCAAGAAAGTCATTGGTACTTCTGGCTGAGGCTGGGCAGTCCCGGTTTTCGCCACTGTCCGCTCTCTCATTGCCACTGATGTTGACGTGCCCTGGTATCCACTGTATTGTAACCTTGCACCCTAGTTCACCAAGTTTGCACACGTCGTTGGTAATGACGTCGACCAAGTGTGTGGTACCCTGTCTCTTCCCCAAGATCTCAAGAGCAGATCTTGAGTCTGAGTAAACAACTACATCAAGCCCCGCATGATCCGTCCCTCTCAAAGTGTCGTGGACTCTCTCCAAGGCCATGTGCATAGCTATAAGCTCCGCATCAAAATTTGACGCTGCAGTTTCACAAGGCCCCGATAGTTTTACATTACTATAAATGTCTATACATGTTATATAGTTCCTGCTAAGTATCAAACATGTGCAATCTGTCTTCAAATTATTTTTCTTGAAAAAAGTATGACTTTAAAGTAGGTATAAGGTGTTCATTAAACATTTTATTTTGGGTTTAAAGATATAGTTATTTGCATAGTTATAAATGTACTCGATTCGATTTAGGTTGAGCTAGATAGAATAAAAAATCGATAATTTTTTAAAACAAAAATTTAGAATTTAACGGGAGCAATTTAACAGGAGCAATTTAACGGGAGCAATTTAACGGGAGCAATTTAACGGGAGCAATTTAACGGGAACATACAAAAATGCGTCCAATGCGTTTGAGTCAATAAAAAAAAAATAATTACATCTTTAAGGCAATTTAGTTTTGCAAAATTCTACACATAGCTAAATCGGCGAGCTACGGCCAGTTAAACAATTAAAGTTCACTTGACTTAATAACCAAAACGTGGGCTCTGCTACCCTTAAATCTCCAGAGGACTGAGGATATTTTAGGAGCTTAACGTTGTGATGTGGACATTTAAAAAAAAAACTGATCAAATTTGAATGAAGGTTGGTGAGGACAAAATAAAAAAAAATGGAAGGGGTCTAGAAATGTCAAGCGTCTTTGCTTGACTTGCTTGTGTTCTACAAATACTTGTTATTACTGACTAGCTCTATTTATTTTATTTTTATTCAAAGTATTTTTGGGTTAACTAAATTTAGGTATGTGTTAAAATACCTTCTTGCATTTTAAAGTTATCACAAGTGTTCTGTGGACTAAAAAAGATTAAAGGGGCATTAATAAGCTAGGGCAAAAATCTAAAGTTGGGATGTATTTAGTTCTTACTTGGCTGGAGCAAGTAAGAGATTTTCTAAATATGGCTAGTTCTAGCGCTTCGCATCTGAAATTCCTCCTCAAAATTAACTCAATGAAACATCGAATTGAAGTAGCGCCAAAATGCTCCCCAGCATTTTGAATTTGCTGACAGAGTTCGGTGCCCTCAATTTCTGCTCATCCCTCCCCTACGCTGATCAGAGAGATAGTGCGTGGTTGATAATATGCTTGTGGCAAATTATTACTCTGGGCCACGCCACAACCTGGTGGACATCAGTTTATGTATGGCACCGAATGCCATATTGTCACCCTTTGACGACTGTAAAATTCCTTCACTAGATCATATAGTCTAAGAGAAACTCTGAATTCAGGTATACTCTGAAATGGGCCTATTTGTTTTGAAACAATCCAACATTTTCTGGGGAGAGGCTCCCCAGACACAAATCTCAATTTCTGCACTTCTTCTCGAAAAAATGACAGTACGGCTGACCCTGTTCATCATTTTTGGTGA